GGAAGAGCAGGATATACATATTAAATACAGTAAGATGGAATGGACTGAACCACTTGACATAGTTTGCAAAAGGGGACTGCTTCATGTAATTCTTACTTGTATTAAAGAACTAAAAACAAAAAAAGCCCATCACGAAATCGTACAAATATCCCCACTAGGGAAAAGAGGATTGTTTCATAGTTCAGTTTTTATGTCTATGGTGAACTTTTCAAGATTGGGAACCTTGGAAATAGTAATACTATCTGGAGCCTGAAGGGAAAATGTCTATTGTGCTATTGTTTAGCCAAGTGATCCTGAGAGAAACTGCAGGTGATTTTAGCATTCTTTTGGAATTAAAAAAAGAGTACTTTAGAATAAAAGGAAAAAGTAATCATATTTACTTTTATTTAATTTCTATGGTTGCCCATCTCAACTAAATGACTCTGGGTGGCTTACAATTCTGAAATAATAAAACAGGCAAAATCAATAAAAATAATCCAAAACAAATATATACAGCAGCTGAGATAGTTGGCCAAATGACAATAAAGTGAAGAGACAGGGACTGTAATGTTTTTGGAACCTCATGCCCAGGTACAAAGCCAAGTTTTTAAAGCCTTCTAAAAGGCCAACAGAGTTGAGGCCATTCTAACATCTGAAGGCCTCAACAGAGTACAGCCTGTGGCTCAGTCCCCACAGAGCAGGGGCTGCAGCAAAGAAGCTCCATCTTCTGGTCCCGCCACCTGACACTCTTTGGCCAATGAGATCTGCAGCATACCCGTCTGCTGGACTGAACTGAGTGAATCTGAAGGATTATTCTATAGTCCAACAGCGAATTCATTCTCTGAATGCTGATTCTTTGGTAGCTGAAATGGCATAACTTAAGACCAGCAATTTTATGAGTAAAATGTAAGTTTTTCAAATATCAAGCAAATAACAATGAACAACTGCCAACAGACCACAAACAAATACATACAAAATAAAAGTCCAGTCTAAGAGAGAGGGCAATTAGGCATGCTGAATGCCTCTAGAATGCTGGTGCTGTGTAATGAAAAAAAAAAAGTAGATTATGTTCCCCAATTCTTCCACTAGAAAGAAAGACCAAAAACATATTTTCTTTTCTTTGGGGAAACAGTGCTCAAAATATTTGGGGATTTTTGTAATCCTTGTGGCAATTATAAAAAGTCAATCCAAATATAAATGGAATGCGAGAAGCATTTGTAGATCTACTAAATGTTAATTTAGACCTGTCCTTAGAACTGCTTTCTAGCTGTAGCTTGTTCCTCTTTTTCAAAAACATCCTTTCGCTTTTCTTGCAAAACTGCCAATAACTGTATTTTCTTCTTTATATATTATCTACTAATTCTTCTCAGCTGAGCAGGATCACATTAGTTAAACCTGAATGGATTCCTCATTTAAAAACATCAGTACATCATAATCATTACTTCCCAATGTGGAAGCATCATGTAGCTATTATTAACCAGGTATGATTGTGTTGACTAAGTGGCTGCTGATAGCATACATAGACTTTTAAACATTATACTTGTGAGAGGAAGATGTAGTCAAATGGGATTTGAAAAATATCTTTTCTCACACTTTCTCAATTATCTCATGAAGGTAATGATCCCTTTTAATGCATTGGTTCTATGTAGCAGGGCTCTTCCATCTTGATTTCCAGTTTGTCAAGGTTAGAAACAATCAGTTCTGATTTCTTGCTTCCTTCTCCCTCTCCCTTTCCACCCTTCCTCCCTCTCCCTTCCCCCTTTCTTCTCTCCCTCCTTCTCTCATTCCTTCTTAATTACTTCACACAAGTAAAGTACGAAATCCCCACAATTCCTTTACACAAATAAGGCATCAAATATCTTGCATAAAGGAAAAATATCTGCAAAAACATGTCTTGGCTCGTATCAAATTGTTAAACATGACATGCTCTCCTATGCTTGATGGAATAGCTCAATTTTATCTCCTAAAACTCAGAATGGGTTGTCAAATTGGATTTGTACCATTTTTGGCTGTAGTATATTCAACTTCTGCATTTGTAGGGCAAATAATGATTGGAGGGGAAAAAAAAGACAGCTCTATTTCTATGAGCTTTTGTCAAGGTAATTGCCAGTGCTGGTCACAGTGTAATTCATTATCCAACAATTTTACCACAAATGCTTAAGAGTTCATGGTGTTTTATGGTTGTTTTATGGTTTCTTTCCAGTTGCTTTTCCAATTGTTTATAAGCAGGAATCCTAATCCCCTTGCATGAAAGATGGGGCTGCTGATTGGCAACTATGGTGGGTCATGACTTTTAATTATGACAAAAACTGCAAATGAAAACCACATGCTCCCTATGGTGAAATCTGCAGAAAAATAAATTTTTATTTTCTCTATTGTGTACTGCCACCAGTTCTTGCTTGTAGGCAAATGGTATTTCTTGAAAATATTACAATGCACAATTATTACTGTTTTGTCATGCCAATGTTTAAAGTTAGTCTATGCACCTAGACTTTACAGCAATCACCTTTACAGGTGATACATTTTTTCCCCAGCTTCTTTGCACAGGTAGCATTTGCTATCTAGCTGTCATCTCAATTCTGGCTTTGCATGCATTTATTCTTAAGGCAGCCAGAATTAGCCTCTCTTCTTCTTCACCTTTTCCACTCTTAGCTATTGACAGGTTTTGTTGTGAAGTTCTTTGCCTACTAACTTTTTAATGTACTGGCCATGTAATATTTTGCCAGGCCAGGTCTCTTTTTTATTCTTTATTTATATTTCTTTGCCAATTTAGTTCATCTGATACCCTTTTTCTTCTTCACCATCTGATGTACTTGCAGCATTCCATGTCCACTATGCTCCTTGGTAAGTAGAATTTGTTAGTATCTCTCTCTGTGTGGATGAAGGGCATGATTCATTGTCATTATGTCATTTCTTGTCTTCCTATCCAAGGCTCTTAGTTCTGCTTGAACCCAATCCAATATTCCAGCTGTGTATCTAATGACTGGAATTAACCAAATATTCCTCTGTTTTATACTTGGGATTTAAACTCTCTAGGGACAGTGTCAATTGACTGCTCAATGTATTGAAACTGTCTGCAGAATTTTCCCTCCTAAAACCTCTCAACTAAGGGAATATGGGGAGAATGGCAGGATTTGGATTCCAAATTTTGGTGTTTTGTCAAAACCCTCTATGAAGCTACAGAAATTATATAAGTGGACCCAGTTTGCCCAATCTTTCCATCAATTTAAATAGGTATTAATGTCACCACTGACTTTGGGCTTGCCTAATTTAGAGAAACCCTTTTCTCTTTCCGTAAATGAGCAAAAAGTAATCATGAATGGAGCTTTAACTCAGAAATTAGGAAGGTGGGAATGCCCTGTGACACATTTTTCTAAATAGGAATAGAATAGAGCTGGAAGGGACTTTGGAGGTCATCTAGTCCAGCCCCCTGCTCAAGCAGGAGGACCTATACTGTTGAGTCCTTGGCGGGAAGCAGACACGAGAAGCAGTTGAAGTTCTCAGTTTCCTTTATTCAGCGTTCAGCTTACAAGTAGATGGCTTCAGCAGCTCCCAAAACCTCCCAGCTTCTTATATAGACGCTTCCCGGGTAAATGTGATACTTTTCCCGCGCCAGCACCCGCGCATGCGCACGGTGCTGGCGACAGCCTGTCTGGTCCCGGGCAGCTTTGCACCTGCCCGGGACTGCCTGCAAACGCCCGAGCCGTTTGCAAGGCTCGGGACATAACACCCCTTTCCCCCGGGCTAAAACTACTACCAACATATAATCATTTATTTTATGCAGTGTTCTGCTTCTCAGTGCTCCTATCGTTACCTGGCTTTTGTTTAGCCATCAATGTTATGTAATCCTCTAAGTATTTAGGAGACTTCTTTGCTCTCTGTGACCTTCTCAGCTCTGGGTTACTAGCATGAGTTCCCTGACTGGAGGGAGATGTGAGCCTGTTCTCCTTATTTTGCCTTGGTGCCTTCCAAGGACTGTGCCCCGCTGCCTGGCCTGCTTGCTCGCCCACCGGGCTCGTCAGGCCAGGGCTTCTGTCACTTTGTGACCTGGTTGACCTGCCTAGCTGTAGACCCTCGGGCCCCTTGAAGTGATAGCCACTGCTGGGCGTCTCTGTTGAACCTCCTAGGTCCGTCCAAGACCTGTCAGGAGGCTGACCATTCCCTGAACCCCGTTCTGTGTCCGGGCTTGTGTGGGTTTCTGTACTTTCCCAAAACTCAGTTACTCCCTGATTTGGGCTAGAGGTGTTGTAGTCGGGACTTGGTTCCTCGACCACCTCCCTGTATGTTTGACCCCCTGTAGAATTTGGGGTAAGGTCAGGCCAACCTTGGGGATTGTGTGCCAGCTCTCTTGCGGGGAATGATTTGTTGAGATGCCCCCGGGTATCCTCCGTGACTGGAGTACTGTGTGATGTGTGTGGAAAGTGAGTATGCTCCCGGGGTGACTCCCTGGCTGGAGTAGGCGTGGATGCCTGGTAGTTAGGTAGGCTCATAGAATTCTTGTTCGGAGCTCTCGCGGAACCCTGGGATGGGCCGTTTGTGGCTCCATCAGTGGAGATGGGCAGCAGCTCGTGCCCTTCCCTTTGCTCCAAAGGGTCCCCCTCCCCCCCTGGAAAAGACCCAGGAGTCTCATCTGAAAAGTCCCGCCTAGGGCGGAGTTGGTCGATGTGCCGACGCAGGACACGACCGTTGTCCAGGGCAACCTCGTAGGAGAGAGGACCTGTGACCCTGGAAATAGAAGCGGGGACCCAGGTATGACCAGGCCCGTAATTGCGAGCCCAAACCGGGGCACCCACAAGTAGTTGTCTAGGTGCCCTAGGATGTGAGGTAGATGAAGGCAGTCTGTCCGGATGCAACCGGTCAAGTTTAGTAGTAAGTTGACGCCCCCAGCGAAGTTCAGCTGGGCTTCTCCCTGTAGAAGTGGACGGTGTGGTGCGATAAGAAAGGAGAAAGTCAGCCAACCTGTGATGCCAGTCCCCGTAGGTGAGTCTTTTCAAGGCGTCCTTTGTGATGCGCACCATACGTTCAGCCATACCGTTGGTGGACGGGTGGAAAGGCGCAGACGTGGCATGACGAATCATGTTAGCCTGTAAGAAAGCTTGGAATTCGGAGGAAGTGAATTGAGGGCCGTTGTCAGACACGATGACATCTGGAAGCCCGTGTGCAGCAAAAATCCCCCTCAGTACCTGAATAGTCTTTGCAGTGGTGGTGGAAGAGACAGGTACAACCTCAAGCCATTTTGAATGGCTGTCAACAAGGACCAAGAAGAACTGGCCCTGAAAGGGCCCAGCGTAGTCAATGTGCACCCTAGACCATGGGGACTGCGTTTCCTCCCATTTATGCACGGGAGCTTGGGGCATCTCTGGGCGAGATCGTTGGCACAGGTGGCATGCATGCACCTTAGCCTCAATATCCTTATCTAAAACAGGCCACCACAAGTGGCTGCGTGCAAGAGCCTTCATACGAACAATGCCAGGATGACCCTCGTGGAGGGATTCTAAGACCCTAGTCCTCATTGAGGTGGGAATGACAACTCTGTTTCCCCAAAGCAGACAACCCTGAGAAAGGGACAACTCATTTCTTTTGGACCAGGGCAGTGCTCAGGTCAGCCGGACAAAACCCAGGAACGGACACGTGAAAGTGTGTGATCTGTACCTGTTTCAGCGGCAACATCCCTGGCACAAAGAGGGAGCTCGGGCAAGGCTTGGATTGATATAATGTTGACAGCTGGCACAGGGTCAGCTTCTACTACTGGCAGAGGCAATCTACTGAGGCCATCAGCATGGCCCATTTCTTTCCCAGGCTTGTGGAGTAATGAAAAATCATATGCAGACAGAAAAATAGACCACCTAAGCATTCTAGGGGAAATGATTTGGGGAGTCTGCTTACGTGTGGTAAACAGTCCCAGCAGAGGCTTATGGTCAGTGAAGACCGTGAAATGCCTGCCATATAGAAAATCGTGGAATTTTTTAATTCCAGCAACAACAGCCAGAGCCTCCCTGTCTATCTGAGCGTAGTTGCGCTCAGCAGAAGACAATGTTCTGGAGTAATATGCAACAGGAACCTGAGTTCCATCAGACCTGAGGTGGCTCAGGACAGCTCCTACCCCGTAAGGGGACGCATCACATGCGATGCACACAGGAAGAGATTCGTTGAAATGTGCAAGTACACTGTTAGAAGTGAGCAAGGCCTTGACTTTGTTAAAGCAAGCCTCATGTGTATGTGACCACTGCCACACTGCTTGTTTGTCTAGTAGCCTGTGAAGAGGCTCAGCTACACTAGCTTTATGTGGAAGAAAAGAATTGTAGAAATTCAGGAGGCCCAGGAAGGCCTGAAGTTCGGCCTTGGACTTTGGCCTAGGTGCTTCTAAAATAGCTGTTAGTTTGGATTCAGCAGGGTGAATCCCAGCAGCATCAATTTTGAACCCCAGAAATTCAGTAGAAGGCACCCCAATCTTGCATTTGTCTTTTTTGAGCTTGAGGCCTGACTTCCTGAATCTTAACAGAACAGCCCTTAGCCTTTCAGCTAGAATGTGTGTGGAGTCTCCTGCAATTAAGACATCATCAAAGTAGGGGCAAACCCCTGGTATACCCTGTAGTGTGTTTTCCATTACGCTTTGGAAAATCCCAGGAGCGACATTCACTCCAAACTGCAGCCTTTTTACCTTAAAGGCTCCCCTGTGGGTCACAATAGTCTGAGCTATAGCAGCATCATCATCAACAGGCAGCTGTTGATACGCTTGAGCTAGGTCAAGCTTTGCAAAAACGCGCCCCCCCTTGAGGGAGGCCAGAATATGACTGACCACAGGAACAGGATAGGCATGTTGCTGCAATGCCTTATTCAGAGTGCATTTGTAGTCAGCACAAATGCGAATGTCCCCATTTGCCTTTAGAGGCGTGACAATGGGGGTCTCCCAAGGACTGGAATCAACAGGTTCTAGGATTCCCTGTTGAATCAGTTTGTCTAACTCAGTGTCAATTTTACTCTTTAAAGCAAAAGGGACCCTTCTTGCTTTAATTCTAATGGGAGTGACAGTGGGGTCTAGCTTTAAGGACACAGGGGGTCCTTTGAATGTGCCCAGCTGGGGGCTGAAAACATCTGCAAATTCTTTGCAGACTTCCTGTAGGTCGAGTGTTTGTAAGCTGTTGAGTCCTGTGACGTGTATCCCCAGGGCCTCAAACCAATCGAGTCCTATGAGACTCGTTCGTTCACCCCCTACTACTAATAAGTCTAGTGGACCTTCAAAACTCTTGTATTGCACGTTAAGGGTGGCCTCCCCCTTAACACACACTCTTGAATTTTGAAAGTCTGTTAACACAATGTCAGAAGGCCTTAACTTGGCCTGAGTTCCACTACCGGAACAAATCTTCCTAAATGTATGCAATGAGATAATTGAAAAGGCAGACCCTGTGTCTAGTTCCATAGATAATGGAACCCCTTGTAGCTTCACCTTGAGTGACAGCTTTTTCTTAATGGGCTTGTGTGTGCCTGTCCTAAGGATGCTTCTTCGCGAAGCGCAAAAACCCTACCCTATTCTGGCTGGGGAATCTGGTACCTTTCAGGCGCAGTTCTTCCTGAGGTTGTACCTTTCGTCGGCCCAGACACACAGCTGCAATGTGTCCTTGTTTGCCGCATGCCCGGCAGGTAGCGGAGCGGAACTTGCAGTCGGTTCTCCTGTGGCGACCTCCACAGCCGATGCACTTGAGCGGAGCTGAAGAGCTTCCCTTCTGTTTTTCTTCCGTCGTGGGGTGGAGACGGTCGACTTCCTCGTCCGGATCCTCCTCGGAGTTTCTTTGGGCGTCTTCCTGGTGCACGGATGCAACCTCTGGACTGTTTCTGATCGGCCGCATGTTCTTGACAGCGCCGCCTGCTGCTTCTTCTGCGGTGACTTCCCTTAAGGCATCTTGGTAGGACAATTCTTCTTTAGCGAAAAGTCTCTGTTGTAGATCTCGATGCCTTAACCCGCACACGAATCGGTCCCTCAGTCGTTCTTCGAGGTCTTTGAACTCGCAGTGCTTGGCGGCCTTCCGTAATGCGGCGATGAATTCTTTGGCCGACTCACCGGGCGTTGATCCCTCTGCTCGAAGGTGTGGCGCCATGCGATGACGGACATCTTGGGGTGGAAGTGCTCCTTCAGTAGCTTCTTCAGATCTGCGTAGCTGACAGACTCTACTGGAACAGGTGCTGCAAGGTTTTCTGCGATGTCGAAGGCGTCTTGACCGCAAACACAAAGCAGGGTGGCAGCCTTCAAGCTCTCTTCCCTCACTTGGTTTGCCTTGAAGTAGTTCTCCACCCTGGCTATGTATGACTCCCACCGCTCTGGATGTGAGACGTCGAATTCCAAAAGCCTTCCGATTTTCGCCATCTTCAGATCTTCAGGAGACGGGTCTATCAGCCAGCCTACCCCCGAATGCGCACCGGATTGGCGGGCAGCTGCCGAGTCGACGCCGTTCCTTTCCGCCGCTCAGGACTCCTTGGGTAAGCTTACACTTCTTCCTTTCCAGGTAGTGCAAGGCATCCCACCTTCGTCGCCAGTGTTGAGTCCTTGGCGGGAAGCAGACACAAGAAGCAGTTGAAGTTCTCAGTTTCCTTTATTCAGCGTTCAGCTTACAAGTAGATGGCTTCAGCAGCTCCCAAAACCTCCCAGCTTCTTATATAGACGCTTCCCGGGTAAATGTGATACTTTTCCCGCGCCAGCACCCGTGCATGCGCATGGTGCTGGCGACAGCCTGTCTGGTCCTGGGCAGCTTTGCACCTGCCTGGGACTGCCTGCAAATGCCCGAGCCGTTTGCAAGGCTCGGGACATAACATATACCATCTTAGACAAGTGACGGTCCAGCCTCTTCTTAAAAATCTCCAGTGATGGAGCGCCCATGATTTCTGGAGGCAACTATTCCACTGGTTAATTGTCTTCAATGTCAGGAAGTTTCTCCTTAATTCCAGGTTTCTTTTCTCTTTCATCAGTTTCTAACCCTTATTCCTTGTCCTGCCCTCTGGTGCTTTGGTGAATAACATGACCCCCTCTTCTTTGTGTCAGCCCCTCAGATACTGGAATACTGCTGCCATCTCTCCCCTATTTCTTCTTTTCTTTAGACTAGCCAAACCCAAGTCCTGCAGCCATTCTTCATAAGTTTTAGCCCCCTTTAACCATCTTAGTTGCTCTTCTCTGAATTTTCTCCAAACTCTCAACATCTTTTTTGTGATATGGTAACCAGAATTGGCTGCAATATTCCAGATGTGGTCTTATTAGGGTAGAATGGCCATCACCATTCTGATTGAGACTTGTCTTGGTATCATAATTGGGATCCAGCATACTGAGGAACTTATCTAGAAACTGTATTTGGCCAACACTTTTGTTGTGTCCTGGGCCTGATGAGGAAACTCAGCAGGCCCAGAATTGTTGCAAATGATCCTGTGCATTCTAAAAGCTGCCCAGGACCAGACAGAGCGGCGCCAACCTTGTCCGCATGTGCAAGGCGCGAAGAAAGAAGAACTCTTATTGGTTCACTCTATCTGGGTTTCAAGCCCTATAAAAAGGCCTGCGTGCCTTTTGCTTTTTGCTTGGAGTTGGAGTAGGAGAATAAAGCATTGTTAGTTGTCACCCTGTGTCTTCATCATTCGCACGCGAACGAAGGATTTAACAACTTTCAAGTCCATACAATCAGTTTCTACCAAAATAGTCAAAAGCTCCTTTTGTTCCTTGAATAGCGGTTATCTCTTATCTGCCTGGACTATTTCCTTCAGAAAATAAAATACTGTTACATGGAAGTCCTGATCTAAAGTCTTTTGGTGATGCAAAGAAAACAGATTTCTTGTAAATAAAGAAGTGGCATTTCTGAGCTTCTCTAAAAAAAACGCACTTGTAATTAACAAATTCTTGCCTACCTCATCCCTATCTACCAAACTACTTCCTTCATAACATAGAATAGTGAAATAATCATAATATGTGTACTACTTCACATATTTAAAACTATTTTAATAATTAAAGCTGAACATGATCTAAGAACCTGTCTTCCTACTTAAAAGTAGCCTAATTTAATAAGAAAATTAAAAACTGTGCTGCCTTATGACTCCCAAGTGGCAGAACTGCAACTGATTTAACTTTGGAAATGATATTATTTGGATTTAGGGAAAGCCTGTGTATGGGGAAAATATTAGAATCAAAGTATACTTTGGAGAACTGTACTGACATACAGTATTTTCAAGCATAGGAAAAAAGAATTAAAAGGAATCATGGATCAATGGAATTAATATTAGGCCCTGCAGAATATGGATTGCCAAGATCATATGGTAAATAAAAATGCTGTTCTTTAAAATGGTGTGTGAGAGTTAAGAATTTATCCATTTATGTAAAACAGGGTTCTTCAAACTTGGCCCTTTTATGACTTGTGGACGCTGGCTGAGGAATTCTGGGAGTTGAAGTCCATAAGTCATAAAAGGACCAAGTTTGAAGACCCTTGAAGTAAAACATTTTAGCCTCAAGCTGTTCAAGCAAAAAAGCTCCAAGAAGAGTTTAGAAGGACTAATAGGGGAAGTATCCCTGCTTCAGGAATAGTATTCTAAAAAGGTATGGCATAAGATTAAAAAAAAGACATAAGAAAGGAGAAGAAAAAAAACAAGTTCAAGCACAGTTATTGTTATGTCCAGAGCCTGTGGAAGCAGGCTCGGGGCATTGCAACGGTCCTGGGCAGATGCAAGCTGCCCGGGACCAGACTGGCTGTCGCCACCACTTGTGCGCATGCACGGGTGCTGGCGCACCAAATGTTGCAGATTGGCCCGGGAATGGCCTATAAAAGAGGCCGGGAGATTTGGGCGTTGTCGGCGTCTTGTAACCAGTATGCTGAACAGAAATAAAGAAGTTCCTGAGAACTACAACTGCTTCTCGTGTCATTGCCATGTCGCGAAGGACGCAACACTGGCGACGAAGGTGGGATTGCCTTACATCGACCGAAGACAGGTGTAAGCTTACCTGAGAGAGTCCTGAGCGGTAGGAACGGCATTGACTCGGCAGCTACCCGCCAATCCAGCGAGCATCGGGGGTAGGCTGGCTGATAGACCCTTCCTTTTTCTACAAAAATGGCAAAAGTTGGAAGACTTTCAGAATTCGACGTCTCGCATCTGGAAAGATGGGAGTCCTACGTAGCCAAGGTGGAAAACTATCTTAAAGTCAACCAAGTAAGAGAGGATAGTTTGAAAGCCGCCACCCTGCTGTGCATTTGCGGTCAAGATGCATTCGAAATCACTGAAAACATAGCAGCACCTGTACCTCTAGAATCTGTTAACTACACAGATCTCAAAAAACTACTCAAGGAACACTTCCAGCCCAAGCTGACCGTCATCGCTTGGCGCCACACCTTCGAACAGAGGGATCAGCGACCCGGAGAATCAGCCAAAGAATACATTGCTGCGCTGAGAAAAGTCGCTAAACACTGCGAGTTCAAGGATCTAGAAGAATGGCTGAGAGACAGATTTGTATGAGGACTGAGGATAGAGAATTACAGCAGAGACTTTTTGCTAAAGAAGACTTATCATTCCAAGATGCCTTGAGAGAGGTTACTGCAGAAGAGGCAGCGGCCATCAAGAACATGAGGCCGATCAGAAGCACTCCAGAGGCTGCGTCTGTGCACCAGGAAGGAGCCCAAAGGAACCCAGAGGAGGATCCTGATGAGGAAGTAGACCGTCTCTACCCCACGAAAGAAGGGAAACAGAAAGGAAGCTCTTCAGCTGTCCCCAAGTGCCTCGGTTGTGGAGGTCGCCACAAGAGGACTGACTGTAGATTCCGCTCCGCTATCTGTAGGGCATGCGGAAAGCAGGGACACATTGTAGCTGTGTGTCTGGGCTGTCAGAAGGTACAACCTCAGGAAGAATTGCACCTGAAAGGTACCAGGGTTCCCAGCCAAAACAGGGTGGGGTTCTGGGCTTCGCGAAGAAGCATTTACAAGACAGGCACACACAAGCCCATCAAGAAAAAGCTGTCACTTAAAGTGAAGCTACAAGGGGTTCCATTGGCTATGGAACTGGATACGGGATCTGCACTTTCGATCATTGCCATGCACACATTTAGGAAGATTTGTTCTGGCAGCGGATTTCAGGCCAAGCTGAGGCCTTCCGACATTGTGTTAACAGACTTTCAAAACTCCAGAGTGTGTGTTAAAGGGGAGGCCACCCTTAACGTACAGTATAAGGATTTTGAAG